TAAATTAACGTACCAATAAAACTAAGCAAAGATTTCTTGAACATATACAGAAAAGGATGACCATTATAAGGAACTTCTGTATGACTCCATGAGAAAGTACACAAACCTACAGAGAAATATTACCTGGCTCTGCAATAAATTAAGAACCGCAGAACCTGAAAAGTTGTTAAGTGAGGCCTTCTGTATTACAATGGATAGTGCATGCATAGACCCCATCATGGGCTGCAACAATTAAGAATAACATTAGCCGAGATTTGACAAATATTTGCTTTCACTTATCTCAAACACAAACCTGGCAGTAGAACCACAATCCTTGAAGGGAAAGTCTCCCAAGATGAAACTGGTGCTCGAGCTGTGCTACCATGGCCTGATAATCCTGGAAAAGATTGATCAAATGTAGCATTAGCTGGGGATTATTTGAATTTGAATCTTCTATTAAAATTAGATAACATTTATATAATGTTCCAGAGGAAGTCAACATGCATAAAGCTGTAGGCCGCTCTGTAGTACTATTTAATTTCTAATAAATTCAATTTTAGGACGCTTGTTATATTGATTTCCAGTTTCTAGTTGGACGATGACAGACCTCCTGATTGATATTACAACTTAACATCACCTCAACAACTGTCCTAACATAAGCCTAGTTTCTGATAGCTAGACTAAAGACATTAGCAGCATTCCTAAACATAGGCCAAAGTTGGCTGTTTTCAGAAATAAATATGCCCACACATCAAACAGAGAACATGTATAAAATAGAATGTAGAGATTCCAATAACGAATTAGATCAAAGAAGCAAGTACAAATGTCATGGTATGAAAATTGACCAAATGATAAACAATGTAGAAAAACCTACAAGAAGGAGTGCCCTGAGTGCAGCAGAAAAGGCATGATTTACTAGGCCATTCTTGAATTGAGACCTCGATTCCACAAACTGATTGATCAAGATAAAGCTCCTACATAGAGGGAATATCCGTTTTGCCAATTCCTGCAAAAATTGATTCAGATCAACTATTAAAATAATTTACTGTTGCATGCAGTCCCGAAAGTATGCTGTGATTTCATCATTGTGATCTATTATATTGTCCATCATTTAGAGACATAGCTAAGGTCAAGATTGCATAAGCTATCAGGTTCAATTTTGTGTGGGAAAAGAAATTTCCTTTTCTGGACTTAAATCAGGAGCATGGAAAAAGTAAAATTCTGTCATTATATAAGTTTAAGCAAGATGCATGACCGTTCACTAGAATAGTTTACACAGTTGTAATGAGTGTCAACAAACATCCAAAGATCTAGACGTAGAATGAAATTTGATTTTGGATTGGTTAATTAGCATGTAAATTCAGACAATATTAAACGTTTCAAAGAAAAAAAATCCTATTTCTAGGCTAGCTTGTTTGTTACCTAAATATCACACAGCATAATTTTCCATATGAAGTAATATGTAAAGGTTTGGCGACTCTCATGTTAGAGGTCAATTTCAACAGAATACATGCATGTTACGCTATTTCTTACCTGAAGTGCCAAATCCATAGATGGATCAACCTGGAACGTGACATTATCATCATCCTGCTGCTTTCCGTGAACCGTTTTAATCAAGATGTAACGTCCTTCAATCCCAACCATGGCTGACAGGATATCATCAATAACAATGAGCTCCTATATGTCAAGAGAACAAAATAATAAATAATTTTTTTAAGCTTGAAAGGACAATAATCCTAGATCATCTTGTAAAGATTAACTGAACTTCCAAACAAAAACTCTTATAAACTAAAAATCATACACACTTGAACACAAGGGTACATAAGTAACAGGAAGCATGTAGAATTCAACCCAAATTTAAGAGTAAGCTATCCACACAGCTATTGAAGTCACAACTGCAGCAGTTCGCCCATCAAGCAGTTTGTGGTCCCGCTTAAAATTTATGCTGTTTAACTTACATGAAACCACTTTTGCAGCTTTACACGGTTGCAAGTCATATTACTTCAACTTTTATGTAACTCCGCCAGGTTAAAAATGAATAAACTGGCAATATGAAGCTGTCCTGACTAAGGAGTAATAAAGAATCCACACCACACATCTGAAATTTGCTGAATGTAGTATATCTGAAAATTCATTTTAATTTCCTTTAAAATTTCTTTAGCTGTCGCTAATGCCCCAAGAATTACAATAAAATTGAAGAAATTCTATTTCTCGGTATTTGCCTCAACAAATAAGGAGCGTTTTTAAGTAAAAAATGCAATCACTGGAGTCATTAAAAATGATGTTTAAATAGAATTTTATACGCATATTAAAAACAAACAATCCTACCCATTAAAACAAACACCCAACAAAGCAGAAAACAAGTCCCTGGAGACATATCCCCCTATGCTAAAAATTGAAATAAGGTACCTTGTGCCAGGAATTCCCACTCCCCCCCCCCCTCACCAAACATTTCAAATGAATTAAATTAAAATGAACAAAGGCAAGAAACAAATCAAAAGGAAGAGAGAAGTACTTGAACCGCAGCATCGTAACAGCCAATAGGATTTTCAAACCCACTACTGCTTAGGTTCATATCGAACAGAACCCAACCTCCAAATCTCAGCCCAGAGCAGATCGGAAAAGAAATATGGCTGCAGCAGAAAAAAAAAATTATGAGTTTGTTGAAAAAGAGAAAAGAGGACCCCACAATCAGCCATACCAACTCTGAAGAACGAAGACAGAAAAGAGAGGTTACCAGCGAAAATGGGGAAGGGGAAGAACAGAACTGAGAGGAAGAGTGTAGTCTGTGGGCTGTGGAGTTACAATACAGGACTTCGTCGCTCCAAAATTTTGAATTCAGCTATATTAATCTTATGCAGAAGAAAACTCTCCCAAATTACAAAAGAATGTCGCGCGCATGTGGGGATTGGGAAGAATAGTAGAGTACAAACATGCGGGACACACAAGGGAAAATCCTACCGGGGGCTATTGGTGAAAAAATTACACTCAGGGCCTAATGTTATGAAATTGTTCTTCTTCTTCTTTTTCTTAAATATATTTTAGGGTGGTAGGGCACAATTACCCTTAATAAAAAAAAAGATAGCAATTAAGAATTTAAATCTTTACAAGATATTTATATATCCACAGCTTTATAATCAGATATTAATAAGTAATTATGTATTAATTGTAAAATTTTTGTTTAGAGTTAACAAATTCATGTTGTTTAAGTTTGTAAATTTATAACTTATAGTTTGAATATTTATAAATATATGTTCATTTATTTGCAAATTAAAATCATAATTTATGACTTTATATATTGAAAACTAATGTTCGTCATGACAAGTTCACATTTTTAATAATTATATATTCACAAATTCATAATTTTTAGTTCATATATAAATAAGTAATTGTCCATGACAGTAAAATTTTTGTTTAAAGTTGACAAGTTTGTCTTGACTAACTTTATAAATTTACATCCTAAAGTTTGAATATTTATAAGTATAGATTCATTTTTGCACAAGTTAAAGTCTAGAATTTATGACTTTATATATTTAAAATTAAGGTTCATTATGATAATAAGTGCAAAATTCTACAACACATGTTCATAAATTCACAATTTTATATTTACATTTTAATAAGTAATTATCCACAGGTTGTGAACTTAAAGTGTTTTTTTTCTCATTAAAGGCAATTGTGTCTTTTCTTTTTAAAACATATTTGTAAAAAAAGTCATTAGAATAATTTTAAAATGCATTGAACCTTAAATGTAATTTTTTATATTTTAGAGAGTCTAGCTGCGATTTTCCCCACATAATGACGAGCAGAAGAAGAAATTTAGTCCCATAACTCAATTGCTTAAAATTTCATAACCATAGACATTTACCCCTCACAACGTTATTTTCTTCACAGATCATAAAAGCTAATTACACCTTAAGTTTTATTTATAAGTCACTTTCAATATATTTATTAATATTAAAAAAATTTAAAACTCATTAATTCTGTATTAAAATTTAATAAGTTCTCAACTTTGACTCTATTAAATATATATATATATATATTTTTAATTACATATTTTCTCTCCAACATTCAATGTAGAGTAAAAGAGAACATTTTTTATAAAAATTTAATGACGTGATTTATAAATAGGATCAAAAAAAAAAATTTCTACCCAATAAATAGGATCAGAGAAAATATAAGCTTATGTCAGATAAAAAATTGTGTATGATTATAAAATTTTAAGGACTTGATTAATAAAAATTAAATTTAAAAAAATATAAATGATGAAGAAAAATTTAAAGGATCAAAAGTTTCATTTATATTCTCACATATGACTTGTGAGTGTGAGAATAATTATTTTGAAGTCTTTAGGAACTTATCTCATATATATATATATATATATATATATATTTATAAAATTACATTTAACTTTCTGAAAAATAATAGAAAAAAGTTAGTTATTATTTGATATTCAATTTTAGTCATTTCTTGTATGAAATATTCATTTTCCCATTGTAAGTAATTATTAACTTACATACTCTACTAAAAAGAGTTACAAAAAAGGGAAAATTACAGTCAAGGACTGGTAGAGGAATTTATTTACCAGCAAGTACCAAATGATTATGAAATTACATTGCAATATCAAGGGATCAAAAAGTAATTAATTTTTAATGTGAAAAGACAAAACTATCCCTCAATTATTTTTTTAAAAAAGCTCCTTAGCCACCGGCCGCCGGAGCTCCAATGCCAATGGCTGAATCGAGAAATAACAAGCTTATTTGCAAATTATAGTGATGACATGCTCTTGTGGGGATCGAGAAATAGGGAAGCTCTCAGAAATTTAAGCCAAACTGAGTTTTGATATTAATAGCTTCACATTGCACAAAGATAAACTGAAGATGTAAACAATTGTTTAATAGTCGATGCAAGTCATAAGTCATATAATGATCCATTTCATTGCATTAAATATACAAATACACAACAGATATACAACATCACTCATTACATGTACTGAAACTCAAAATAAAGTGGCATAAATTTGACAACTTTTCTGGCCAAAAAAAAAAAACATTTGACAACTTTCACAATCATGACTTACAGAACTTGAAAATATATGCATGTGTCTCATTGTCATTGCTATGTTTTTAAAGTAATGTAGTTCACAGGTACTAATTAAATGGTGCAAAGGTATACTATACATCAACACCAATCATTGGGAGTGAATATTGAGAATTGAAAGAAACAAGGGTGTTTAGTTTAACAATTATGCAGTGGGATAAGAAGCTTGCATTGCTATGCCACAAAGACCTTCTTGAGTATTCACATTTCTTTGCATCCTAATGTATCCTTCTTCACCCCACTCTGTTCCCCATGAATTTTTCACCAACCAATATTCAGTATCATCGCTGACACCATAACCAATGGCTGTAACACCATGATCCAACTCGGTGCCACAAGAACCTGTGAAAATGCCACTTGAGTAGAACTGAAAATCAGATCCACTTGCATCTATGGCCACTGAAACTGGCTGGTTAGCCACAGCTTTTTGCAGTGCCTGCTCACTATTGGCAGGGACATCCTCATACCCATTAATGGTGGCTACATGGTTGGCTTCTTCATTGGCATTGCAAGTTCCATCAACACCCTTGTAAGGATAGTTGGCTTCAGATGTTATGCCTTTGTTTTTTATGATGAATTTGAAGGCATCATCCATTAAACCTCCTTCACAGCCTTGGTCCACACCTGTGTCACAATCAACCAGCTCTTGCTCCGACAAAGAGATCAATTTGCCTGTACTCAGCTTAATGATTCCTTCTGTTGCTGCTATAGCAGAAAATGCCCAGCAACATCCTGCAATATGCATGAAAGTTAAACAAAGCCATACAAAACAATTCAATCTAAATTTGCTAATTACCAGGAATAAGTGTTGTACTCCCTCTGGTTCTAATTATATTTATAACAAAAGTTGTCTAATTTTGCAGTTTTTAAGGAGTCGTATTTGATGCCTTAAACTTATAGAAAAAGATTTGACTTTCCAATTTTGCACTTTATTGGAATTAATGACTATAATAAAGTGTTGTACAAAAATTTAAACTTGCGAACAATTTGTCGTAATTAAGGGGGATTTTAACTACCACATCTTTACCCTCTATTTAAAATCAAGTAGGACTTCAAAACTTTGTCATATAATTAGGACTGAAAGGAATACAATACAAACCACATTGGCCTTGGTTCTTGACAGGTGTCACAGCACCTTGCTTTCTCCAGTCTACAGAGGAAGGCACATCAGTCACATTTGCATATTTGAAAGAGGGTGTCCTTGAGATTGAGGAGCACATGTGACCCTTGAATCTATTTCTAGAAGCTGTGAATTCTTCATTGCTGAGATCTGCAAATTGATTTATGCCTAGCTTATAAGGCTTGGCTCCAGCAATGTTAAAGCCTTCAATGTATTCCACATTTTGCTTGAATATATTGAAACGCTTCTCCTTCTCCTGGGGGTCCTTATACACTCTGCCATATTGAACCATCCATTGCTCATGCCTCTCCTTCATTGAAGCTTCTTGAAGAGTGCGAGATGAAGCTTGAAATGCCAACAATCCCAGAAAAAGAAGAACCAATGAAAGGAGATGCTGAGATTGAATTTTGAAAGCCATGTTACTGTGATAATGGAAATAACTGATGATTCAGATGATGGGTCAGTCAAGTGTGGTAAAGAAGCCGTGATGATCTCTGATGTTCTTGAGGTTGAGGTATATAAAGCAAAATTTAAGCTGACTTGTAAAATAACCATGTTCAATATTTTAATCAATAGAGAATAATGAAGAGAAGCCTTTCTTTTTGTGGTACCTGAAAAAATGTTATGAATGAGACAGCTTGGTAAAGCGTTAAAATGGAGGTCTTTGAGAAATGTTAAAAGACAATTTTATTTAAATATGATTTAAAATTGCGGGTATAAGCAACTAATGCTTCAGAGTTATCATTCAAAGACACAGACAGTAAAGGGGAAAAAGGGTATTCAGAAACGTATGCATATAGAAGACTAACAATATTATGTATGCTGCATGTCCTGTCTCTTGTCGTTGAGTTACTTATTGGAATGGAAAGTTGTCGTCTAACTTTGTTAATATAAAAATAAAGAATCATCTTTTCCGCGTGTGTTGCGTATAACAATTAAAAAGAGTGTCAATTTTTGATTAAAAAAAAAAAGAATGCCAATTTATTTGATTGTGGTTTGTTGTCAGACTCGGACTGCTTGGTCATCATATGCATTGTTTTAAATTGTGGGTAATTAATATATCAATATAATATAATATAATGGTACTATAGATTTATGTTTTAAAATTTTTTCTGTCATGTTAATTCTAAATATAAATTTTGACACTTGAAGTAGGGCATTTTCCCCAAGTTATATATATATATATATATATATGTGAAATCTAACCATAAATTGATGAATTATTTCATGATGAATGTAGATGATAGTTGCCTGCGATGCATATAAGCTACTCTAAGAACCCAAGTTGTTATTGTTTTCTAGTTGTATTATTATCATTATTCTTCATTATAGTTTGTTTCGTTGATTAAGAGCTGGGTGATAGTGACACCTTGCCCAAAAATTTCTGCACTTCAATTCTTTACAAGGGATGTTCATGAGATGAAATAAGATTAAAATACTCTTATCCCATGTTCCATTCTAAAAAATTATTGGGATTGAATGTTTATCCCATGTCTTGTCTCATCTTATCTTAAAAGTTATCATGTTCAATTAGGAATCAGGATGTAATCGGGACAAGATTAGGACATTTACCTATTCTGATAAAGCAGACAATGTGGGAAAAAAACTTAAATAATAATATTCATTAATCAAAATTTTAAATCACATAACTTATTGAGTTTAAAACCAAAATAACATAAGCACACGAATCACAACAATTATTTAATTACATCAATCACAATTACAAGTATGCAAGAGATATAATACATTATGATAGTAATTATAAGTAATTTTTAAGCTATAAGAGTAACGACAATAGACAAACCCAACATAACATCAAGTCATTGTTCTTCTTTTTTAGTTAAAATATGTTAAGCTAGTGATTCTTTCAAAAATAAAGCAAGAAATATGATATAAACAAAAAGTTATTAAATAGATAAATGTAATAATAAATTATATTAATATAATTAATACTTTTTTTGGTTCAAAAATGTAAAGCATTTTTAACCAAATCTCACTTTCAATAAAGTAGTTATTTATTTTCAAACTAACATTATCTTTTTATATTTACCTCTATTAAACACTCTATAATAAACATAAAGTCATTCATCAATAGGAATACTTTAAAAAAAAGGTAATAATTACACCTCAAAAAACTAAAAATGCCTTACATTTTTAAATATTTAACTCCTCAAAAAATGCCTTACATTTTTAAATGAAAAAATATATTATAAATATAGATATTATTATGTATTGCTTACTCCCGGAGTATAATGCTATTGAGCATGTCTATAATAGATATCCATGGCTGGGAGAAACCATATCTCTTGCATGATATTGGCTTTGGTGTTAAGAAAATTTAATAACCGTGCGGATTGGATTGCATGCCCATTAAAGTTATTATATGGAAATTTTTAACAATTCTCTCTCGTAGGGTGTAGAAACTATTATCAGACTTGTATAACTAGCTTTTACTCTTGACTTGGTTTCTTTTTGGTTTAAAGACAATTTTTTTTCCTAATTTTTTTTAAGAAGTGAGGGTATCTTGTATTGAAAGGTAAGGTAATATCTCTCTAAATAATTTTTTTAAGTGCAAGATTATCCTTCCTTATAAATCCATCATCTTTTTATTATCTACTAATGTGATATAGTTGTGGGATCATGCACAATGACAACATGACATTCTAACCTATTTTGAACATTTAACATGAGCCAAAGACGCTAAAATGGCTATGGTAATTGCAGGAATTGGCATCATTATAGTGGCAAATGGTGGCAACATTGGCCAAAATGCCTAGCTGTCTCTATGTGTTGACTGTCTAATTATTTTTTTTTTTTGGGAATTACAAACAACTACATAAAATTTAATTAGGAAAACGAAAATTCATACAAACAGGTAAACTACTATTTTGAATCCACCAATTTTTCCAATGATTCGGCAATAATTACAACTAGGAGAATCTAAAGAGATGAAGCAGCTTGTCAACACCTCTTCAAATCATGGCAATGGCAGGGTATCCTTCAGCCAGGTTAAGAGTACTCTTCAAAACATCATCATTGATGAAAACAATAGTAACAACAAAGAAACTAAGTGGACCAAAATCACCAAGATCAATTATCCATTTTAAAACAGAGCACAACTCCTTTAGGGAAAAAAGAAGCTGATCTTCTTCCACACTAGCCTTTCCAATTCTTTAGTTTAAGAAACAAAAGTCTTTAAAAATAACCTTCTTGAGGTCTTGCATCTTTTAAAAAACAATTATCCATCAATCCACTTAGAACCTGCCCCACTTGCCTCTTTACTACACGAAGCTGTGAATTGTTTGAGTCAGATGAGGGAAAGTTAATACTTGATAAGCACCATTTAACCTTCTCATGTACATCTATGGATTGATATTGTCATTCTGAAATTTCAATCTGTTAATACAATCCCAAATTACATGGACCAACAAAAGAATTTCTTTCCACTGATGTAGCCATTCCCTATCTAATACCTCGTAATTATTTTACGCCAGTAGATAACAGAAAAGATGACGGGCTTCTGGCAGAAAGCTGATTTTGCTCTTGAAAAAATTTAGAAGCAAAAATAGTCTTTAATTTAGGGGATAGGAAATGTACACAATACTGAAATTAATAGAAAGTGAAATCCTTCATAAAGGATTAGGTGTGTTTAGATTGAATGAAAGAAACTAGATTTTCTTTCGGCAATACCAAGTTCAAATCTTGTTAACGAAAAAAATTCACATCGGAGGACCTATCTCCATTTGAACCCAACAGTTCTTAAATTTAACCTAATTATACCAGATAATTGTATAAATAAAAAAATTCACTTATGAAGGCAGCTAATCAAAAGTTATATATATATATATATATATATATATCAAGTGTGCGTATTTAAAACTTCCTAAAATAAGTGCACGCATGCATGTGAACATCCTCAAATCACAAGTGGTCTTTGGGACCTACTTACATTCACAAAAAATTGTATGATAAATGTAAATGATTTTCAATATTTAATAACATTAGTTCTAATTCTCCCATAAAATATATGTATATGTGTGTTGCACCCACATTCTAATAATTTTGGATCCATTACTGGAAGGTCCTGGAGCTTGCCTATTATTAAACCAAGAGTACAAATCTACTTTTAAAGTTTTAACTCATTGAATTTTGCATTATCAGAGGCTAGTCAAACTTCAATTGTCATTAGTGAATGATATTTCAGCACTAAACGCTAATGGAAAGCCAAGCCGCATATAATGCAAAAAACCCAGGATGGCAAGTTCTGATTTTGATTCTCATAACCTCCTCAACTTTTGTACTGAACATTACAACTTGGAATATGTACCCATCTCCACTTTCATTGTTATCAGCTTTCCAAACTCTATACTGATGAAAATAATGTTGGGAATGAGATGTCTCAGATTTAAACCGGTTTGAGCTTCATAGCTTCACATTTCACAAAGATACACCGAAGATACACAACTTATAATCATAATATATTTCATTGCATTATAATATATAATTACACATCAGATATACAGAATCACCCAATGCATGTACAGAGATTAAAACTAGAGCAGTATAAATTTGACAAACTTTCATGGACATGACTTACAGCAATTGAGTATGTGAGCTGTGCATATTCATTTCTATTTTTGTAAGCATATTGTAGTTGATAAGCACTACATATTGCATAGATATACAACACTGCCATCAAGAGTAGAAATTAACAATTAAGCAGTGGGATAAGAAGCTTGCATTGCTATGCCACAAAGACCTTCTTGAGCCTTCACATTTCTTTGCATCCTAATGTATCCTTCTTCACCCCACTCTGTTCCCCATGAGTTTTTCACCAACCAGTATTCAGTATCATCGCTGACACCATAACCAACGGCTGTAACACCGTGATCCAACTCAGTGCCACAAGAACCTGTGAAAATGCCACTTGAATAAAACTGAAAATCAGATCCACTTGCATCTATGGCCACTGAAACTGGCTGGTTAGCTACTGCTTTTTGCAGTGCCTGCTCACTATTGGCAGGAACATCCTCATACCCATCAATGGTAGCTACATGGTTGGCTTCTTCATTGGCACTGCAAGTTCCATCAACACCCTTGTAAGGATAGTTGGCTTCTGAGGTTATACCTTTGTTTTTTATGATGAATTTGAAGGCATCATCCATTAAACCTCCTTCACAGCCTTGGTCCACACCTGTGTCACAATCAACCAGCTCTTGCTCTGACAAAGAGATCAATTTGCCTGTACTCAACTTAGTGATTCCTTCTGTAGCTGCTATAGCAGAAAATGCCCAACAACATCCTACAATATGCATGAAAGTTAAATAAAGCTAAACAGAACTTCAATCTCAATTTGTTAATTTCAAGGAATAATTGTTGTATTCCCTCCTGTCCTAATTATAGGACAAAATTAACTAA